GTTTTACCTAACAGATGGAAATGTTTGTATTAGAGAAAGCTGTGAGGTCTTCTAGTTTTGTGTAAAATAAGAAAATTAGAAATGTAACAGTAAAAATCATAATTTTAGTAATACTATTATTATGAAATTTATGATGTTAAAATGTAAGTTATAATAATAAAGACTTAGTTTATCTCTTGAACATTTTGAAATTTGTTGTGATTATTCAAAATAAGTAACGTGTGCAAAATTTTTACAACTGTGATATTGTGTGAAAAGCTCTGCAAAGCCTCCCCTGATAAAATCTAATTATGTGGACTCCTAAAACACAAAGACTTTTGCACTGAAAATTTAATATGATTCTAAAATATTATAAAAGTTTATATTTTGCAATTATGTAAATAAATTTTTTGGTCAAAATTTCAAGATTCATATTTTTCAAATTATATCCCTCCATTTGCTAATGCTTTAGCACTTTCTCTCTAAAAAAGCTTTTCTCGCATCCAGCCACTTTCTTTTTGAAGGGGAGAAATATGTAAAATATAAAATACCTTACAAAATCTTTCAAATAATAAATTAATAATAGCCCCTTACCTTCCACTGTCATTCTAAAAATAGCAGCAATAATTTTTTCTAACTTTTTGCAGTTCTGATGTGCACTTATCGATGAAATCTGAACCCAAAATCTGGACATTAAACTGTCACGTGATTTGAAATGGAATTCGGTATAAAAAGCTCACTGTGTCGCAAATCTCTCTCTTCGCTCTTCACCTCTGCTTATTTTCGCTGGGTCGCCTTGCCCCTAGTTTTATTTTTCTAATTTTGTTCATTGTTTAAGATGTAAGGTGTACAAAATTTGGGAGTGCATAGCTCCCCCATGGTGATGATGTGCATTATCCAGAAATAAAATTATGTGTGGAGTTTACCATTATGTGCGCTCTTCGAGTGTCATCTTGTTAACTATGCAGTCTTTAACCATGTGGTCCTCTCTAATGTCAATACATTGCAACTCCCACCAAATCATCTTTCTAACTACGCAGTTTTCAAGCAATGCATTAAAAATCTCTTCAAAATATAACGCAGAAAACCAACATCAATCCTTTGCAACTCCAAGTCATTCTAGCAACACCAAGTCATTCTAGTACAATAATGCCGCAGACTTATTCCATATATACACTGCTGGCCACCCAAATTGCAACACCAAGAAGACAAGAGATATCACAACAAAATTTATTTAGTAGATAACATGTTGACCAAGTATCAAATGATTAAATTTATAGACTTCTGTGAAGTTTGGTTCCTTCCAGAATCAATAGCCAGAGTAGCCGCCATCGTCAGAAATCACCGGAGCCATACGCCTCAGCATTGATTCGAAGAGACTTTGGATGTGTTCTTGGGGTACAGCAGATCAAGCAGCTTCCACACGTTGCCAAAGTTGATCTGGTGTGACAGCTTGGGATGTAATTTGGGTCAATCGTTCAGCAACCATGGACCACATGTTTTCTATCAGCGAAAGATCCAAAGAGCGAGATGGCCATGGAAGCAATTCAATCTGGCAATTGACGAAGAACAATTGGACAATGAGTGTCATGTGTGGTCACTCATTATCCCGTTAAAATATGGCTGTGGGCAAGCCCTGAAGGTAAGGAAGGACAACTGGCTCCAACACCTCGGAGATGTAGCGCTGGCTGTTTAAAGTACCGCCAATGCATATTAGAGGAGTGCGAAAAGTGATATCCAATACTGCCGCATACTATAATGCCCGGTGCAGGAGCAGTGTGGCGGTGCATAACGCACCTGTTCAGCATACTCTCTCCACGGTGTCTCCAGACTCGAATCCGACCATCGTGGTGTTGCAGACAGAAGCGTGATGCGTCAGTAAAGACAATTTCACTCCATTCTACTGTCCACATGCTTCTTTCATCGCACCATTGGCAGTGGAGATGTCTGCGGTTCTGCGTCAAGGTTAGACGAAGCAATGGACGTCTTGTGGACAGACCACTCTGCTGTAAACGGCGTCGAATGGTACGCGCAGACACTGGATAATGCATTACAGACTGAATGTGCTGTGCTAGGCTTCGTGATATGACTGAGCGATCCGTCACTGCCATGCGCACAATGTTCCTGTCATCACGTGAAGTGGTGCATTGAGGTGGATGCGATCAAAAATGTCGGTCTGTCATACCTGCCTGCATCCAACAGTTACATATCCGCATTACAGTTGTTTGGTTTTGTCCAACATGACTACCAATTTCCCTGAAAAATAATCCACATTCTCGGTAGGCCACTATCCTTCCTCTGTCGAATTTGGATACTTGATCAAACAATGATCAATATTTACTACGAGGCATAATTGATCGTTGTTTCTTTTTTTTTTTTTTTAAATCACAAGAAAAACACAATTGCCAAACTTGAAATAATCGAAAACTCCAAGCCTTAAATAGCGCTTTGAAGTGTCACCACAGGTGCATGTGATGTGCGTCTGCACTGAAATTCTAATCATTTGCATATCTCAGCTCCTCTATTGCATGCTGTAAATTTCATGTTATTTGCATGCTTCCTTCAGGTTGTGTTGCATTTGCGGTGGCCAGCTGTGTATATACGAAATACTCAGAAGACAATGCGGGATATTTTCTGATTTTTGTAAATTTTGATGAATTAAATAATATTCTTCTTAGTTATTAATGGATTTACTTGTTACTCCCTTTTTTCTACGTAAAACAGTCCCTTTTTTTATTGCTTCTGAATATACTGTATAATAATTTCAGAAGCCATTGTGAGTAAGTCCACCTTTTATCAATATTTTTTTATATAAACTTTGAAATAAAAATTAAATTATTCTTCATCTTTCCATATTTGTTGGCAACACTGAAAAACAACAAATTCATAGCAACTGTTACTTCCATTATTTAGAAATGTTCGAGTTTTATATACATGCTTTCTTTTAATTTGAAATATATAAACTATGGTTAAAACATAAGAATATTACATTGATGTACTAGTGAAAATTACTGTATTATCAAAAAGATTAAATAAATTTTCTTTAATAAATGTAAAAACTCTGACTGATAAAAATGTCAAGGGAAATAGGAAAAGTAAAAGGGAAAATGTCAAGGGAAATTTCTTATCTTTTTCAGCTGCCAAAAAATACAAGTCCTAAAATTTTTAGAGGCTATCATTGTTCCAATAAATACTTACGTTTTTATTTACACATCCTGTACATATGTTAGTTTTTTTTTTTTTTTTTTTTTTTTTTTCCAGAGCTGACACTTAGAAAAAAGACTTTATATACTTTTCTGATCAAATTAATCAACTAAGAATTTAAAAAATCAATGTGTCAAAAAAAAATTAATTTTCTCAATTTTTGTTTTCTGGACTTAACCGCATTTGCTTCTGAGCAACTCATATATATATATATATATCCACTCTATTACTCGGTTCTGTGAGCTCAGTTTTGCTTTATTCTTATATGTCGGTAAATTGTGCATCTTTTGCTTTAAAAAGTAATTGAATTACGTTGTTCTTATTTTCTGATTAAGGCTTTTATGCCTTTAGTTACCTGCATGTTATAGTTGTAGAATTATCAACAATTTAAAAGTTGTTTTAGTGCAGCTAAGTCTAATTTTTTTACCACAGCAGCCATATTTGTTTACATTTGAAACTTAGCAAAATAGTGGATTTGTTGCCAATCTAGAGAAACTAAGCTTCGCAACAACAAAGATAATGTCTTCTTTTATTATTGCGAATTAAACCATGCTTAATCCGTTCTGGAATAATCATTCAAGTTATTAAATTATCCCATATATTGACTCAGCATAACGTCCACAACAAACTGAATTTCTACACCTTTAGTGTCTTTTTGCCGAGTGGGACCAAAATGAAACCTTTAGTTTTGTGCACTGAAAAAACTGCCTTTTTGCCTGCTGGCCGAATTGGTTGTTTTCGCCCAGACACTCTAATTTTAATTTTTTTTTTTAAACTGTATTTGGTATTTTATGTTTTTTTATATTTTCAATTTGCAATTTTTATGTATTTTTGCCTTGCTGTGAAGTGAGAATTGAATTAACTGAATAAGAAATATATTGGAATTTGAGGAAATAAGTGTTTCGTATTAGCAGAAAATATTGTTGCCAGTCTGACTCAGACATAGGACAATGTTTACAAGTAGCGTATGTAAATTAGGTAAGTGGCTCTGAATCGTCTGTGAAAAATTTTTCTTTTGTATTTGTTTATTTTCTTTTATACATCATTTTAGATTTATTATCGTATTTAAATAAAACGTATGGCAACGATAAGGTAATTCTTCAGATGATATAATTTTTGGGCATTCTGAATTATAAAATGAAGGAAATTAATGCTGTTAAGTGAACCTAGCACCAGAGTGTCGCTATGATAAATAAATACAGCGAATTTTAAAGAGTGCATTTATGTCATTTTGGTTTATGTGCTATCGACAAAATAGAATTCAATAAGTTTACATGAAATTCAGGAAAAAATTAGTATAATTTAACATTCCGTACAAGGAAGTCATGTGTACACATCTGATTTTTTTATCTCCCTCTTAAAATGGGTTAATATTCACCTGAAATAAAACAATTGATATCAATCAGCAGATGAAATTAGAAAAAACAGTCACAATTCATAATAACCTAAAAATTGAAAGATGTGTCAAAACAAATGACAAATGTTATGAAACAATTCTGATTGAAGGCTTCACAATTTTGCACTACAACATAACTTACAGCTGCATTCAACAATAATTTGATTATGGGACACAGGGAGTAATTTAAATTTAATTTAGATGGAATAGATCAAAAGTGAAATCTAAGTTTAATCAACTACCTTGTTATAAAAAGCATATTTTTAATAAAAGCTCATAAATTAAAAACACCTCATGATTAAATAAAAGTTCACTTAAATTTCCTGAAAGGAATTTAAAAATTTTAGTTAAACAAAACGTTAACTTTTTACATGAAGATTAAAATAATTATATGCACACAGCTTGCTAAATATATACTAACTTTTAGTAAAATCTTTGCATTTGAGTGATGCTTGAATACTCGTAGAATCAGCAGCACTGCTAATAGATAAACTATCATCTGAAAATGTATCAGTTGATGTTGAGCAAGATTCTTCAACATCTGAATAAAAAAAAAAAAAAAAAAAAAATTAAAATTCACAACATATAAATGTAATGTTGCTTAAGGAGAAAAAATAACGATTTTTATAATTCATTCAATGATTCATATAGCATTAAACATTACATTTAGAATCAATCCTATAATGGTTGTAAGTCAGCAATCATGCAATTCTATAAATACAGTGAAACATTTTCATGATGACCACCAACAGTTCAAAATTTTAAGCATCAGCAGAAGTGATTACCTTATAGATCATGACTACTAGTTATATTCAATGCTATTATTTGCTTTTGTTCTTGAAAAATACTGTACATCCCTTGAAGTAAATGACAAGAGAGGTTTCAATGTATATTTATGGTCATAATTCCTTTTATAAAACCTGTGATCACAACTTCAAATATTACTTGCAGAAATTTAAAAGTTCAAGTTGGTTATGTATTTGAAATTCTGCCGTGGTCTATATAATCTTGTAGTCTCTGCATAGGTTACATTCAAATTGAATTTATATCCTTCGTACAAAGAAAATGAAGTGTTGAAACCAAGTCCAGGTTGGCTGGTGTTTTTATATTGTATATTCTAATTTAATTCACTCACAAGTGGTAAGGTAAAATAAAGTGTTTATTCTGTTGTCTGTTTGCTTGATAGTTGGTTATTCAGGTGATGATAATTCATCACTCAGAAAAAAATGTAACACCTTGGTTTTACGTAATTAATATTACAAAATTAGCTGGAACCCACTCTGTGTGTTACAGACTATGTGAAGTATTGGCTATATGCATTTTATAGCATTTGCACTGAAACCTAATAATTTCCTTCCACACCATATTTTTCTGTAAAACAAAATTATAAAAACACTTTTTATAGAATTAAAAACAGTTAATCTTTATTAGTTCTGAATACAGAAAACATACCCTTTAAAAGGAACTCTTTATCAAATTTTGGAAATAATTTTTTAAAAAGTTTTTTAGATAATGCTCCAGTTTATCAAAATTTTTTTAAGTTTTTTTTCAAAAATAAATTTAATCTACTAATTTCCATATATTATTAATTCTTAAAGTATTGCAAGTTAAAAATTTGCAGTATTGAAGATTGTGAGGCGGATTTGATGTAAATTCTAAAATGGTAAAATAGTTTAAATGACAAACCTGTAGCACACAAGCTGTCAGGAATTTCTGGTACAGAATATGTGTCAGGTAGTTCACTCCTTGGCAGTAAAGAAAATCTAAAATATAAATAATAAAAATGAACATATAATAAAAATTTAAAAATAAAAATGTATTCAAATAATTTTTTTTAAATATATTTCATATATCATTTTCTTTTACACTTTTTTTAATTACATGTAATATTATCTCAATACAAAATAAACATGTATCTCCTAAGTAACATATATTATTACCAAATTTATTTCTTACTGTTAAGTTTCAAAGCCCTCAAATAAAATTTATATGCCAAAGCAACAAACAACCTTCTGTTTGGTGTCTATTTTAATAAAGATTCTCAGTTTCGAGAGCAACAGGTGCAGGTCCCTCATCATCATCAGAAAAGAAATTCTGTACAGAAGAATGAAGATTTGTTTATTTATTCTTTTTGGACTTAAGATCAATGTTCCTTGAATATTCGATAGTTAATCATTGCTGGAAATTTAATCACTGTTTTTACTTTTGGTCTGCAAAAATTATCCAGAAAGTTTTTTCAGTTAGTGAATTGAATTTCCTTGAAGCTTTTTGCATTCACAAAAATTTACCTTGTTTAGTTGATGACTTTAATTCCAATCCAGCTCCTCCTAATACTTTTAAAATGCTATTAATTTAATTTCCCATGTTTTGTTTCCATTTCTATCAACCCATTTGTTTTACTGCTTAGCTTCTAGTATAGATACAGCTCCCTTCTTAGCAGAATTTCTTTTCTCTTTATGATGAGAGACCTGCATCCCTTGAAATTGATAAAGTCTTGGTTAAAATATATGCCAAACAAAAGATTGTTGCTTTGCCTAATTTTATGTTTCACTTTAGAATTCTCCTCTTCTAGTTGATCCTTTCTACAGTCAAACAAATAGCAGCAAGAAAATCAAAAGCTTTATTACAGTATTGAAACATCATATTTATAAGCTGCTGTACAAGTTAAATCCAAGAGCATTCAAAGTTATCTTATAAGGCATTTGTCCCGCCTTCCCAGCGTGCCTTCGTGGTGTGGTGGTCTGCACGCTGGGCGCGTATTTCCGGAGGTCTGTGGTTCGATTCCCGGCGAAGGCGTTGCTCATTTTCCACTTCTACTGCTACTTACAAAAAAAAAAAAAAAAAAAAAAACCCTAATGTCTCTACAGTGATGGCAGAACTAAAAGGGTTGTGGATGATGATTCTCCACACCCAGGATTTGGCGATTGGGTCCCCTAAAACCCCAGTCGCCCTTTAAAAAGGGGAGTATATAAGGTATTGTTCCTGCCTTCTTAGCGTGTCTTCGTGGTGTGGTGGTCTGCATGCTGGGTGCGTTATTTCCAGAGGTCTGGTGGTTTGATTCCAGGCGAAGGCATTGCTCATTTTCCACTTCTCCTGCTTTAAAAAAATACCTAATATCTCTACAATGTAGACTAAATTACACAACTGACTAGCAGAATTTATTTAAATACTATTTCATAAAAACTTTGATTAGAATCAGAATATATTCTCTCAAGAAAATAAGGCTTGAGATTTAATTCCATTCCTCAAAGGCATTTTTGATTAAAATTGAGACATAGATGAAGTTGTTACAACAAAACACGAAGTTATAATGTCAATAAAACAGCCTAAGAACACTGACACTCTCCCATAATTAGTCTGCCTATAATTATCGACATGGTGCTTAATTCGCTATATGCCTCAACCTGGGGTAATAAAAAGCAATTCATGTCTAGTTTCATAGAAACACTTCAAAGCACGTTACAGTTATTTACAACTCAATTAAGAATTAAAATTGTATTAATAAGAAAATGATTCTTCAAACATAAATCTTTAAATCAGAAATTTAAAAAAAAAACAGCTTATTTAAATTAATTATTTAATAAACAAATTAATTATTTAATGCATATGAACAAAGAATTATAATAGAATAAAATAAATGAATATTAATCTTTAAAATTTCTAATTCATTATTGAAAATCTTGATTCCAGAATTGCATTCTAATTCATTAACGGTTTTGATCCTAAATTTATAAATTTCCCAAATCATTTTTTTCTGCACTGATAGTATGCCATGCACTTTAACCAGTATACATGATATCTACACTCTGTTAATTATCAACAGAACAAATAACTCATTATGCATATATTGCATAATTTTGCAAAAACTGTATTCTTTTACTAAATTTATTTAAAACATTAATATGTTTTAACATACAAAAACATGATTTCATGAACTGTCTCAATACTGCAATATCTCTCTTGAGACAGATAAAACAAATGAAATGAAAATACAACAAATCATCTATCCCACAAAACGAATTTTATAAGACTCATCTAGCCTGAGTTGGACATATCGAACTAGATGAAATATACTAAAGAGTTTAGCATCAAAGTTATTCAAGTACTTGCCTTCGGTAGCAGCCTTGGCAAAAAAAAAAAAAAAAGAGAAGAAGAAGAAGAAGAAAAAGAAAGAAAAAAAGAAATTTTGAAAGGTTTCAGATTTCAAATTATGCCCAAGGGGGCACTTTTTTTTAACATTTTGAGTGTTACCTTTATTTATTAAATATCATGTTCTACATACTGAAACCATAAAATTAAAATCAAAAGTAATATCGGAAAGTAATTTTAAAATGAGCATATAGAATTTCCGATACAGAGTCTCACGCGCTGGAGATAAAAATGCTTTTTTCTGTGCAACATTGCCATTGCTTGCTTTGAAATCTTTGAGTTTCTTAATTAAAAATTCGTTAAAGTTTTACAAAATATAAAATCGATAATAACACAAATTCCAAATTTCAAATTTGGGCATCCACATGCCCATATTTGCAGTAGGATTATGTCATTCAAAATTTAATGGCTCTGTGTACCGTTGTTTTATCACAATGCAAGAAATATACATAGATTTATGAAAATTTTTCATTATTTAATTTCTTCAAATATAATGCAGGACTTTAACATTTGGTGGCAACAGCATGAAAAGTGAAACGGACATTTACAGTAAACCAATGCAAAATCACAAAACAAAAACAATAATCCTTCAGGGACAAAGCCCCTTTTGGACTAAAAAAAAATGCGATAGAAAAATTCAGGCTCAAGAATGTACAATTTGTTGCCAAACGTTATAAACATCTCTGAAAACAAAACTGATGGTCGCAAATGATAAATTGGCAATTCATTCTCTATCTTCACAACACAAGAATTTAATAAAAAATTTTATTTCATACAAGTTTGTTAATAATTTATTTACTGCGAAAACATACAACTGAGTTTATTTAATACATACTTTATTACCATATTTAAAACAAATATGTAAACAATTTTGTTCAAATAACAACATATATAAACACAACAGAAAATCTATTCAATATTTTATTTAATACAATTTTGTAAGCAATTTTTTTTTTAAATAATATAAACATACCAGAAGATTAAATTTTTACAGAAACATTCTGGTCAGTCTCACTAGATCAAGTAATTTTTTGCAAATTTGCAACTTTTGACTACTAAAATTTTTAAACATGAATTTTGGGCTACTAAAATTTATGTTAATATGACTTTAATTTGCTACTAAAATTTATGTTGTGATAATGTGATTTTGCGAATTTTCTCCGACTCCATTATTTTATTATGCTTTTTTTCAATATATTGTTGTTATGAATGTGGACAGAATTGGTGAAAGTTTACAGTTCTTGATCTTTCTGCACAAAAGTACTCATAAAGCCCTTCTCCGTATGATACAGCATAATTAGTAATTATTACTTCAAGCTACTAAGAATGCTGACCACAAGACAATGCACAGTGTATCAAAAAACACAAGCTCACACAGTGATCTTTCAATGCTCTGAACTTCCGAGCTAAAATTCTCCAGTCCTATACAGTTTCTTCCATACACCAGAGAAATTTCCAGCACCTTTGATTTCTCGATATTGCTAAAAGGTAAACCAGGTAAGTGACATAGAGACATAAGTTACAGCATTACAGTTACACAGGTATCAGACCAAAATGTTACCAAGTTTAGTAAATTTTTTTTTTTTTGTGTGTGTGTGTGTGTGATTTCTCATCAAATATGGTGAGAAAAATTAGTTGCCAAAAAAACTGGTAGCTTGGAACTAATGAGATACCCATTTACCTCAAAGTTAAATGGGCTTTACCCTGTACCCCTATTTTTCCAGCCATGCATCACATTTTGAGGCTTTTCATACATTATGTAAAAGATATTAAAATTTATATATAATTTCCCTAAAATTATTTATATGTTTACAAAATTCATAGCATTGCACCCATCCCAAGGACTGCACGTCCTGGGCAGTACAATCCCTAAACAGGAAGCCATACATAAAACTAAGGAAAATCAATAGCTAAATACTAAACACAATAAATGACTGCTTTAATCTACAAATTTATACATACTAAGATCATTATACTATTTACATACACACCATGGGAACTACATAATATGGCATTAGGAAGGGAGAGGTAATGAATGATTAATAAGAGTTATGAATGTAAGTAAGTAATAGTAAGTAGTAATGAGTGACTTTAGGCTTACAAATTCATGACTAACAGATCCGAACTATGACGGCATTCAGCCTGTTTAGGATTGTGCCAATGTGACTGTAGTTTAGGAAAATGTCCTTTCAATCAAACTGGTTTTCATAATCCATGTCACCTATATTGACTCAATGTCTTGTGGCTCTGGTCTCATACTGGGTCTCCACTGCCAAATTCACTTGCTCACAGTCAAAATTGTGCATCACATCAAACTGAATGTACTTCTCAGGCAATGAAAGTGCATCCAGAGGATAACCAAACAACACATGACAAGTCAGATGAAGATCATGAACAAAGAGCATTTCGGATGGGGGAACCAGTAGTCTCATGAGCAGCACTGCAATATGCCAGTAAGAAGAGGCAACTTTTGTCCCAGTCCTTTTGGTTTCTAGAAATGTTTAGAGAGGTTAATGAAAATGGTTAGGTTAAACTTCTCTACCATTCCATCTAAATAAAGATGTAAGGTGTCATTTGGGTTTTGTCTATGCCGAGTAGTTTACAGAGTTCTTTA